ATATCAGTGAACATTTTTTTGTCATTTTTTTTTTTAATCAGAGATGGAAAATAATAATTTCAGCATCCTGTGGATTTTTTTTTTTTTTTTAATGAAATGTCAGTTATGAATCATAAGGCACGGTAAAATCCGTATTGTGCAAGCCTTTATAGGTCAAACCAAAAAAACAAAAATGGAACTATCACAATCCTGATGTGCTAGAAAAAAAAGGAAATACTTTTCTTTTAAAATCACGGTCAAACATAGATTTAAGGGACACACAAAGCTCTCTCTAATTAAAATTTGCTGATGACCAATGTTAATGAACTTTAAGGTAATTTTGGCCCCTTTTTTCACCAAATTCAACCGTTAAGAAGGGCATTTTTAAAAATATTTGAATTGTTAAATGTTGACAAAGATAACAGAATGACAACCTCCCACTAAAAATTGTGGTACGGTACCTAAAGTATGGATTTGGGCGCAGATACATATTTGTTAACCAAACTACGTTGTCGCTCCCTGCCTAAAGTGGATATAAAAAGACTACATGGCTCAAATGCCTGGTTTTTGAATTGAAAAAAAAAAACAGTAATTATTCATCTAAATCATCAAATTTATACACCATAAATGTTATCTACAACCTGTACAAATCAATTTAAAAAAGAAAACTTTTGAAGGGAGGGGCACGTGGGCCTCCACTTAAGCCTCAGTAGCTCCAGTAGTATCTGATCCGTTGACCCGAGGCCCCGGGCAGGTGCGTAGGAGTAGAGGAGCTCAGAGAGGTAAGGCGGGGAGAGACCATACAACGATTTGAAATCAAAATCTTAAAATGAACACTAAATTATATAGGGAGTCAGTGAAAGGAGAGCAAAGTATGGAGTTATGTGCTCACTCCTACAAGCTCCCGTTAAGAGGCAAGCAGCAGTGTTTACTAAATGGAGATGCTTGTGGGAGGACTGGACGATTCCAAAATAAAGTGCATTACAGTAATCCAGCCGAGATCTACTGAAGGCATGGATTACTGTTTCTAAATGTTGTTGAGAAAGGAGAGGCTTTACTTTAGCCAGCTGCCTAAAATGAAAAAAAAAAAGCTGGATTTAACAACAGCCCCAATTTGCTGGTCCAATTTAAAGTTACTGTCCAATTCAAGCCTGATGTCTTAAAATAAGATGACAGGGCACCCAGTTCAACAGGGTAGGATAAACAAGGGCAACTTGGGACCGAATACCATATATTCTGTTTCCCTTTTATTGAAATTCAAGAAACTGAGTAGCATTCAGGCCTTAATTTCTTCCATACAGGACAAAAGTGGATTTATTGACGAAGCATCTGTTTTGCTCAGCAGGACATAGATCTGACTATCAATGTTTTCTTGAGACGAAACCTATGGGATGTAAATGCAATGAAAACAGCAGGGGCCCCAAAACAGAACCCTGTGGAACACCATACGACAGAGGGGCAGAGTGAGACTCAGAGCGACCAAGGCTCACAGATAAAGTTCTGTCACGCAAATATGATCTTCACCATCTGATGCTGCAAACGAGCCAACAGAACACCAAGGTCTACCGTGTAAAAAGCTGCAGTCAGTTCCAACAAAATAAGAAACATAGGGATATTTTTGTATCCAGCGCAATTCTAGTGTAACGTCTAACTGTGCGCATTTGTGAAGTTTATTTTATTTTGGTATTATCTTCGACTTTGCACAGGTAGAATTGGGCCGAAGGCGCTGTTTACGCCATTGTTCGCCACTGTGGGATCAAATGTAGTTGACTCCTGGCCAATCTTAGGACCCACCTCATTTTCATTAAATTCAGGTCGGTTGAAGCGCATGCAGCGCTTCGCATTGCAGATGAAGAAATAGACTTGCTGGTGTGAAACGGTCTTTGTTTTATTTCCACTTGTCTTCACACACAATAAGGCAGTGAGAGGTGTTTGAATTGTTTATGGACCGTAGTTGTTTACGACAGTCAATTTGTCACCGTGTCAGATCTTGACAAACTGTAAAGTTAGCACATCTGACAAGATTAGAAAATTTATAACATTGCTGATATTATATGATGAGATTAAAAAAAAAAAAAAAAAAATCAAGAGGCACCCCCCGGGGCTTTCGGTT